CGGCCGTTGGGGCGTTTAACGTTCGGATGGCGAAGAGGGCCGTGTCGCGACAGGGGTCGGGGGAGGGGTTCGGCCGAGTTTTGGGCTGTTGCTGAAAAGACTTAAGGGTTTGTTATCCCTGCCTACCCGGCTCTCGGCCTGCCGTCGGCGTGAGCGTCTGGCCTGGCTGAAGAGCGGACCGAAGTTTGTGGTGTTTTGGGGTTTTTTTTTAAGCTTTTTCAGTTCTCTGACCGTGTAAACGCTGCCGCCAGCACCGGGACCTCAGAATGCCTGGAGGGTGACACCGTCTGTTTTCCCCATCAGCTTTCAGTTACATCGTCTCCAAATTATTAATTTGTTATTAAACGTATGAATGCAAACGTATTAAATATACAGACGTATTAAACGGAACAGTGCCTGGAGACCTCATCCCACTGGGATCTCTGGTGTGTAGGTGTCAAAAAATCGAACGTGATGCAGTCTGAAACCAGAAGTATGGAGAGATGAGGGCTGCGAACAGAGTGCAAATATGTTTTGTTACTCTTTGTTTTTGTATTCTCCCCTTCCTGAGCTAGATTTATCTTTTTTCTTTTTTTTCTTATGCTGGAACAGATGACTTAAATACTAGTGAGGATCAGCAGCCACTTTTATATCAATATGGGAATAATATATACACCTGTTCATATATGAAATTCAAGCTAATGTAATTCAGAACCCAATTAAGAAAGAAGAGTTTATGCCATAACAGCTTGATGGTCCAGGAGTTCCTGAAGAAGCTGGTTTTGTTACTCTAGGTCTCAGATTATCAGCATACCAAAAACTTTGAAAGGTCTTGTTTTCAGATTCTTTTAGTGACTAGAACGCGGTTTTTGAATTTGGTTGCTGATTTCTTTAATAAATATTTCAGAAAATGTGAGGGATAGAGGTTTTTTGCTGGAGGCACAACCCGTAGAATTTAGAAGCAGTGCCTGTTCAGCTAATTGATTTGAGAAGGGACATTGTTAATCAGTGGCTATGCCCATCTGCTGTTGTGAGCAGACGGAATTTTTCAAAGTGGCACGCGTGTGTTGGGTTTTGAGCAGACAGAGCAAACACGTGATCTGCAATATACACCCCTCAGACTTATGTGAGTCCTTGTTCTGCAGCTGATGCTACCTTCACCAAAAATCCCTTTGGCTCCAAGCTGGTTGTGATTCTGCATTTCTGAATCTTGTTGATAACTTTTGGATTTCTGTCTTGTCCTTGACTTTGAGAGCTCTTTGAAGGAAGGATTGTTGTTTTCTGTATGCGTGTGAATCACCAGCAACAATCTGTTTTGTATGAGAATTACTTTAAATGTGAAGTAAAAAATTTATTATTGCTTTAACATCTGTTTGTTTTGAATAGTTGTTTAGTGTCTACAGTGGTAACAAGCAACAAATCTAAATACTTGGTTTCTTTCTAATAGCCTCCGGGATAAAGTTGGGTGTCATACCACGACCACAGAGTGATTTATGCCTCCCTACTTTACACTGCAGTGAATTTAATCAGGTTGTTGTTTTACTTCCCTAGCATAAAGTGATGCGTGCAAGAAACATTCCACAGGGTGATAATAACCCAGACTGGGTCTGTAATACTGCTTTTATACATGTAGTGTAGCTTTGCCTGCCACAAGAACACAATACATACTTTTGCTGCCAAATTTTCCCCTTGGGCCAGATTTGGGCTATCTGCACTGGTCACAAGAGGAGTTTTGAAAGTGCGTGGTCTGTAGTAATGAGCTGTCCTGGGATACACTGCAGTTCTGACATAAGGCTTCTTCCACTACAGTAATCCCATTGTGGAGGTGTCCCAAAAGAATATTTCTGGATGTCTGGTTATGTGCACATTTTTTGCTGCTGGAGAAGATTTTACTTTTTCGGTTTTTAAGATATAACTTAATACACCAATATTAGAGTTTACTGATGTAGAAACATGAAGCAGACATGAGGAAATGACTCATGCTTAGTTAGTACTCTTGGGGAAAAAGACAATTTAAAAAACTTGTTGGTGGAGATTATTCTGTCCTTGTGGTATTGCTCTGAGCCAGAACTTCATCTGTATCTTTATACATGCAAGATGAGTTTTGATTTATATTGATTCTTTCTTTAGCTTAAATACTAAAACTCAGTTTTTAGAACAAGAAGTTCAGATTGTTGCTGTCTATAGCATGTTATACTGTGTGAGGGGTGCAGGAACAGAATAATCATCTCATTCCTGAATGGCACGGTCAGCTGAGAACTCTTTGTTGTATGTGGAATGGTGGGATTCCCTTCCTGCTCCTTCATGCCTCATTGTCCGTGTGTTTACGTTGGTATTCATTTGCTAGTCTTTGTCTACACTGATTTTCATATGCTACTACTGCTCTCTAAAGTGAACTGTACGTGATATCTGAAGACATTATTTTTTTAATGCTTGGTTATAAGTTGGTGGTTTTTTTTTGCACAGAATTGCGTTTACTTAGAACCGAACAAGACCATTAAGTTATTAAATATAGAAGGCTGAACTCCCTTTTTTTGCTATTTCACATAAAGCATTGAAGTATTTTTGCTGATATCTTGACAAGGAAGAAGAGCAGCATTCTTAAGGGGGTTATTTGTCAATATTTATTTGCTGATGGAGAAATAGATACTTGGTATATTGCTTGTGTGTAATGTCTCTTAGCTGTTTATATCAAAAACTAAGACCCAGTGTGTTATTTTAAATATATTACAGATGGGCTGGAAAATGTACAGCAGAAGGAAATCTTCAAAGAGAACGAGAAGATGGCACAACAGAGAGAAGAGCCATGCCCTGCTGATTCGGTAGAATCTCTGATGGCAGAAATGCCATTCGTTGACACAGATATTGAAGAGGAATTTGTTAGTAAGTATTAAATGGGAGTAGTGTGGAAGCATAGGCACATCACGCACTCAGTTCTTCATCCTGCCTGTTGGCGTGTAGCAGTGGGCTGTGCACATGGAACAGAGTCTCGCTGCGAACAGGATCCAGTCCAGACCCTCTCTTCTTAGTACTCAGTCCTGCAAATACTTGAGTGTATTAAAAATTTACGATTTTGTGATCCATTGCAACAGTGAGTCACAGAATAAAGACATCTCATATGTCAATTCAGATTACTGTATGTGAGCTTCTCAAGCAATGGCTTTTATGAGCTACCTTCCAATATGTGTATTCCCAGCATGGGGCTGGAAGTATAGCTCTAATTGGACAGTGGATGTCTGCGGCCTGGCCATCTTATACATACCCATAAGATCGGGCCACGTAGTGGGAGAGGGTCTGCAAAGGCTTGAGGAAATAAGCTGGGAGAAAAATAATTTATGGTGCAAAGGCAGAGCTGAGGACGTGCACTTTTCTTTCACTATGTTGGAAGGTGTCTTTGGGAAAGGAGGAGATGGAGAGTAGATCTAGCTTGGATTGGGATTGGCCAGTCCTAGTCTAATACAACCTTTTCCTTTAATAATCCTGTGTATTATTGTGTTTTATATTTCAAAATGCAGCATGCATGGGATTTTGGAAGCTTAATATTGGCTCTTTGGCTCTAAAGTCACACCGATGTTCATGCGTAGTCAATTTGCAGGTCTGTTACACCTCAGTGTCAGTTGACTAAATGAAACACAGTGATTTGGAAGCTGCATGTCTATGTTAGCAGTTTATAAGCCCTGCTTAGAGATGTAGGCTGTTAGTTCAAGTATGGTACTCCACTTGTATAGCTACATTAATTCAGGTTGGAGTAGGATCCTGATCAGACAGTTCAGAGCATGGGCACATCAGATGACTGGGAAGACATGCTCCAGTCAGTTGGCTGAAGTCCAGCCCCTGGTGGCATGATATTAAGTGTGTCTTTGTTTTGATTTGTTTGTATGCTGAAAATATTTTTTTTTCTCTTTAGTGCATGCAACCTCTGAAATAAATATAAAAAAGAAAAGGAAGAGGACTGCTGGAAGGGAAATTGAAGAAGGCAGTGAGAGAAAGAAGAAAAAGAAAAAACAGTATCAGCCAAATTATTTCATTTCTCTTCCAATTACTAATCCAGAGGTGATATTTTTTATTATAGTAATTTGCTATAACTGGAATTACTTCAACAGCTGCATGTGTTTATAAGAACAGTGTTTGATCTGGAGCAAAATAATTTTTTTCAGGTATTTTAAAGGAATGTTAGCAGCCTATTCAAAGAGTAACTTTATTTTATGTAACATTTCTAGGAATAAAATTGCTTATCTTGAAAAGACTAGAGGAAAAACACCTTTTTATTCAGTTTGTCAGTCTTACATATTTCACATTATTTTGTCTTAAGCTGGTTTAAATTTTGCCTCTGTACTGTTCCAGTATTGCTTGTCATTCCCGTAGAATAAGGGAGACATGCCTATGTAATTTAATAAGAAAATCCCTAGCAATATTTATAACTCCCCTTATAGATAGGAATTTAAATTCAGATCTGTTGCCGTTTTAACTAGGCAGTTTGTAGTTTCACGTTTTCCAGTAAAAGTGATCATCTTATTTAAAATTCAAACAACCTGTTGTTTTAGTGAGATGTTCAAATGGATTCAAGAAGTGCAGAGAGCTCTTTAAGAAAACATTTTCTTGTGGTTAGCATGTGTTGTCTTATTTAGACAGTGAGGGAGAATTATTTCTTACATGCTGTGGGATGTCTCTCATGCAGCTTTGGTACCTTTTGTGTCTGCAAACAAGGAAAGTAGGTGCATTATGTTTAAGGAATTAAACCTGACAGTTTACCACCATTTCCAAATTTAGGTTTATTTTTTAATACCAGGAGCAATCTCAGGTGAATTTGAACTCACCCTACATCTGTACTATCTGTTCTCTGAGAAAGTCAAAGATTAAGAGACTCCAAAATGAAAATAAACCAAAGTAGGTTTGAAAATTACAGTGCAGTCTTTGATTCTGCAGAATATACGATGTGAAGAAGACATTGTAGAGGCTGGTTTTATAAGATCCAGGATAGCCTGACACAAATATCGTGGGAGATCTTTTGTGCCCACTTGCTCTGAAATATCATATGTTCCTGTCTATTCCATGATTTAACAAGTGCAAGAGTAATGTAGGGGTTATATAATCTGATAATTGAGAATTTCTGCTTATGATTGTTACTACGTTGAATGGCTGATTGAGTGGAAAAGTGTTCACCATGCATGTTTTATTATATGACGTGTATTTAGCCCTATGTTATTTACAGAGGTAAAGGAACAACTGTATTAAATCTCAGAGCATTTGGGAATTCCAAGACTTTGCTAGAAAGTTTTGTTTATACTTGCCTTAGACGTAGAGTTCTTCTGAAAGTAGAAAATACACGCTGGAATTTGTATATGCAACATTAGACAAAATGTAGACTTAAAACACCTGGTTTCTTGATAGCCAGAGGGAATGTGGTAATTCAGTTGTAATGAGAGACCTGTCTTTTTCTGAGGATCCAATTTTATTCCAGTGTTTTAGGCATTGGTACTCTTTCTTCGTATTTTTTGTAGTATTTTAAGCTTTACACAGAGAACCATTTTGTAATAAGGGATGTTTCTGGAACATTCAGTGAACTGTTCCTCTTGGAAATTTAACAGTTTCCTTGTTTTCATTTTAATTATGTTTTGAATATTCGGAAATTAAATGTGGTGTTCTGTTAATTTTTAATTTAATTTTAACTTTGCATTGTTACCTGTGCAAAAATAGTTAAATGGATGATTATCATTGTATCCTTTTGTGGTAATTTTTTTTAAGGTATATTTCGTCTGATGTCTTATCACTTGGTAGGTTAACCTTTCAGGGTCCTCCAGTCTTGATTATAATTCATCTGTTAAATCTTAAAAGCTACAGTCTTTATATTCACTTGCCAGTAGTATCCTTGCAATAAGCAAAACTAAGTTATTTTATTACTCTTCAGAGTAACATATTCCAAATAATGGGAGAGGGGACCGTGAAATCAGTATTTGAGACCTTATTTTGGAGCACTTTTTAAAATAACCTGAGGGAGGAATTGATGAGTATGATCTGCCTTCAGACATTTCTTTTAGTGAAGTTAGGAAATCACAAGTTAAAAGAAATAGCATGATAACAGTTGAAATGGAACAGAAAACTTTGTAAGGTGATGTAAATAGCAGGTTAAATAGAAATCTAAAATTTTTATTTATGCAGTGGGTCATAAGTAGTTATACAGAGATGCAGGAAGAGTCCTGGTTTGCTTAATTAAGATTCAGTGCACTGAACTGTTAATTGCACCTTAGATGTATTGAAGAAAACGAAACGCATCTGAAGTTATATTATGCATTGTGATGGCACAGCTATGCTGCACCTGTTGTTTTACGTTTTGATCACATAGCTTCTGGGAAAACATATTAAAAATTAAATCCTGAAATTTACAAAAATGTACTCGAAAACTTTTTTACTTCATTCAAAATAGTGTAGGTTGTGTAGTATGTTGTCACTTGGCCAGAGAGAGAGAGAGAACATGCTCAGTCTTCTTTCTATTTTGCCTTTATCAAGAAGGCAGCCCATTTCATATTTTCCTGGTGGGTTCAGCAATAGCTTATCTCATGAACTGCTAACTGGCCATCTTGGGAATTAATCCTGCTCCAAAGGTATGTTATTAGTTAGGTTTTTAGCTTGGTTTCCTAATGGAATTTATACAGGTGTGAGCCTGCTTATCTGTTTGCCTTGTTATAACCCCATTGGGGTTTGTGGGTTCTGAAGCTATTGTGGGTTTTCAACCCGTTGTCCAAGTTTGGATTAAAAAAAAAAGACATCTCAGAGGTACTAATTTCCTGCAGTTTTTGTGGAATTGGTGCTTGAGTTAAAGATAGAGCTGAAAGAACATGCTTGTGTTGAAGACTGTAGTGCGAGTGTGGCAATTACCTATTCTTCTAGACCTGCCGGCTGGCAAATGAATATCTGCATGTTTGTTAGCCAGTCAACCCCTTCATAGCTGAAAACCAGCCACGGCATCTGTTGCTTCTTGCCCAAGCCAGGACTGAACTGTATGAGGGAGCTGGAGGTAGCTTAGAATGTGAGCATGAAGGGACTCGGAAGCAGTACTGAAGGAACTATATGGGTAAGGGGATGTGGGGTGTTGGCTGCTAATCTGAATGCTGAATAACATTGATCTTTCTCAGAGCTAGGATGGTCTTACTGCTGTGATAACACAGTTCCACACCTGTCTTCTGTGTTTTGAAGGGCTGTCCACTTACATTTATTTTTTTTTTCTTTGCAAGCTCTCAGGTGCAAATTAAATTTAGTAACAATAGTAGAAAATGGAATAAAATTGTAATTCATATGATAGGTGGTTTAATTTTTGAGGTTTTGGTTTTTTTTCTTTAGGGGGAAAAATGCATTTGTTTTAGTTTACGAATTTAAATAATTATGCAGTCAATACATTGTAATTATCAGGGATTATGTTTACCAGTTTTTTACTTAAATGTGGGTTAAAGTTCTTCTACATCTGAGATAGTAAAAGTGTTATTTATCCAGCATAAGATCAATTCTGACATACGAAGGAAGATGGTCTTATTACAACGTGATTAATGATCAAAACGGTGGTGCAATTTTCTTTATATATCTTACACTACCTGGGACACTTGTAGTTTTGTAGATGCCGTATCACCTTTTACTGGCAAGTGACTTTTACCTTCCTTCATCCTCCCTACCCTCCCTAGAGTTGGTTCCTTTCAGTTATAATTTGTTTTTGTTTATATGGCACTACTAGATACCTATGGCACATTAGGTAAAACTCCTGTATGGCAAAACTCATCTTGAGAAAATTCCCTCAGAAAAGTACTGACTACTCCCATTAGATTCTGCTTTTTTCAGGAAATTTTTGTGTTCCTTATAACTAACAGAGCTACCAAAATATATATCAAGGCTTTTTTTTTTTAACCTAAGAGCTACTTGTGCTTATGTTATAAAAGTCACTATGTACAGTCTGTTTGTGAAACATTCACCACTGAATTTCAAATTAAAAAAAAAACAGAATTTTTCTAAATGCTTCTTTGAGACTTGATAGCAAAGCTGATTTGTCTGTAATGTCTTTGCTTACTATGCTTTAAGAAATAACTCATTTTGTCAGATGGTGAAGGTTGTTGGATTTGATTTAATTTCCACTAACATATTCAAGAACTGTTGCAGGGTTTTTTTGTTTTGTTTTTAAATCACTACAATACAACTAACATAATGGCAAGCATAGTAAACATTTTGGATACAATTTATAAAGCATGTATAACCATACAAATAATTTTCAATGAAGAAAATATAATTCAAATAATTTTAAAGAAAAAGAGTGATGAAGTTAGAACTGTATACATGTTTTTTAATTAAAAAATGTTTGAAGAGAGTATATAAATTATATCTGTCTATTGGACAGTATAATCAGAATTGTAAATTGGGTATCTCTACAAATTATTTACTGAATATTCCTGTTTTGTATGTGTCCGATCCTGCAAAGATCTCTTTCCAGACACTTGTCTGCACATAGCAACATACAAGTTTAGCAAAGCGGGCAGAGAAAGGCCTTGAAGAAGTCTTTTATTTGGATTACTGGCAGCGTAAAACTGGATGATCTTAATCTGCTTCAGGAATTTATCAAGCAAACTCCTGTTAAGATGTTATGGGGAGTGTCCAGTGATTTGTTAATCACTCCATTTGTACCCATGTTGGGTTTACTTGGGTCAATTAGCACAGCTTTGTTAAAGGATAAAACTTTCTTCTGCTAGAATGTTTTTTACATAAACATTTGATTTCAGTTTGTGTGCTTTCTTCTTCACTTGCATGATGGGATACAGTAATTGTAATGGCTAACTGTTGTTTCTGTGTCTGTCTGTCTTCCCAGATTACTGGCAATATTCAGGCTGTCCAGGATGCAATAATACAAAAGGATCAAAGACTTTCCAAAGCAATGGTTCACTCTGGCTCGTTGCATGTCACCATGTTAGTGATGCATTTATCCACTAAAGAAGAAATTAGCATGTAGGTATTTGGTGTTAAATTAAGTATATACAAGTATTTTTGCTGGAGGAGTTCATAAAAAAAAGACTGGAAGGGGTAACTGATGCTTATTTTTTGCAATAGACACTCCTAAATTGCTAGGGTTACTGTACATTGAATTCCAGTTGTTCTTAAAATGCTAATCTTAGTATTAGCTATTTTCATAGTTTATGGTACGTCATGAGCTCCGAACAAAGTCTGCTTTTTTTCCCCTTTGCATTTTTCTCACTGTGTGCTGAACTTGCGTGCACGAATCTCATGGTTGCTAAAGTAATTATTTTAAAGCAATATTTTGATACAGCGGACACTGAACAGATCAACAGGGGAATTTTTAGAATTTCATAGTTTAATGAATGTTGTAAGCCAAATTAGTAATTGTCACTGAAAGACTTTAATGAAATAAACCTTATGTCCAAGCTAATGCCTCATGCAGTTACAGGGGTTTTTTTTATGTCCCTAAATGAATTTATGGTACTAAAAATTTAAGTACACTAAAAGAGAGGTGGCTGTTAGGCCTTAGAAAAAGTGTAATTTTTATGCTGCTTCATTGATAGAGGTGATTTTTTTGATCATAGAAAAGGTAGAAAAGTTGTGGAAAGGTGTGTGCATTATACAATGACGTCATGTGTCTAAGTGTCAGATGTGACTACGTGCTTTATAAAAATGCAGTTCTTTGGTGTTTGCTACTGTTTATCACGTGCTGCACTGCTGACAAGCCTACTTTAATGTGCAAGTTCAACGGTTAATACAAAGATGTTCAGACTTTTAAGTCTGTCTACACAGCTGTAATTTATGGGTGTTCAGAATAATAAGTTATGTCTAGCTGTAATTTTGACTTGAAATGAGAACACTCATTGTATTTTATAGTCCTGCTTTGCACAGACTTTCTTGAAAGTTTCTGTTTAGATGTGATGCCTGGTGGCCTATATATGTGATGTCTCTAGGTTCGCACATTGTATTTGCAGAATTGAGATTGCAAATACTTTGGTAACTGTAACAGTATTATGTAAAATGCTGATAAATGGCCTACTGGCATTATATGAACATCTGGGAATACTCCATTGCTTATGTGTGAATTTTGTAGTGAATTGGTAATGAATCAAAATTCATCAGAACTTTATAATGCTGTGAAGGGGAAGCCTCACGGTTTCATCTCCCTCAGGTAAGCTCTGTCAGGGGCCCTCTGTCGTATACATACCTCTCTTGCTGGTTTTCTCTGCAGTGTTAACAGGCATGCTGTCCATGTACCAAACTATTTATATCAAATAATGAATACGTGCAGTGAGAGATTGCTTTGGTTATGGTAATGGTGTTACAAAAGAATGTGTCTAATAAGTGTGTGGCAAATAATTTTTTCCCATAGAAGTTTTGGCTGTTGAAGTGCAGATTGCTCATCGGAACGCGAGAATCCAAGGTAGAATGTAGGAACCATGTGGTAGTCAAGGGCACGCTTCTAATAAGTAGAAGTATTTTGGCTAAAAACATTTAATGCACCTAAAAATAATGAGATATCAGTGTATCTAAATCAATTGCCATGCTTGTTTTTCACATTTGTTTCCTTGAATGCTATATTCTGGAGGCCTCTTCACTCTTGCCTCTCCTGTGAGGATGTGAGTCTGTCAGCATCCTCATCTCCAACAGTCTGATCTAAAGGGAGAGAAACACCTAGCCAGGAACAGAGAATAGAAAGGAGAGCAAAGGATGATAGATCTTCTGGACTCCCGCTCCTCTCCATATGTGTTTTGTCTCCTGGAGTAGACGCACCAGCTTCCTCCTGCCCTGGTTGATGAGCAAACTGTGGTAGCACCTGAAAATCGGTGAGGATGACCACTGACTGTGTGCACAAGATTTTTTTTTTAAATGGGTTTGAGGTATGAACCTTTTGAAAAGCAAATATTGAGAGGATATCTCAAAGGCAGGTATGTCTCCTCTTGAGAGTCCTAAACTGTATATCAAACCAAATATTCTCAAATTAGTGCTACTCCTTGAGCTCCTTCTCAGCTCTTGCTGTCCGACTGCCACCCATGCACTTACTTACGGAGTTCTTCTCTGCCTCTCCCAGCAGAACTCCACAGTCCAGGCACCCAGGAGCTGTCCTCTAGTCAGCAGCAGCTTCCCCAGTGATTCACCCCTTCCCTGGCCAGATGCCTCCTACAGGTATCTAGCTCAGCTATCCTCAGGTATTCTAGACTGTATTTTCTATTATATGGGATTCTTTTTTTTTTTTTTTTTCCATAATTGATGTTTTCTGTTTAATCTTTCGGGAGAACTTGAAGAGTAAAAAGTTGAATTTTCTTTCCTTTGCTTCACGAATTTTTGATACCAGGTTAGTGGAAAGAAACCGACATCCAGGCTGGCACAAGAACCTGTGTATAACATAGAGTGAGAGTAATCCCTCAAAGAAAGTGCAGCTAGTCAGCTGGGCATCTGAGAGTTTACAGATCCTTACGTTTGGATCCATTAAGTTACTTGGATATCTACAGTTTTTTTACTGTGTTGGCACAATAGTGCCTCTGTCTATATAGAAATGAAATGTGTTGAACGCTATTTGAAGTCAAAACGCGTGATAAGAATGTGCTAAACGTAACATTCAATTCAGCACAAAGCCCTTTGTGTGGTATTTTAGTACATACGGCTTTCACCCTGAAAGTGGAAGATCTGTATTCTGGGCTGCTCTTTTTAAGGGAATCCAGACCTGCAATTCCCATGCAAGTTTCCTGACCGATTGGCTGTGGTCTAGCCTTCATGAATGCACTTTACATCTCTTTATGTAGTACTGTATGAAATTAAGAATGTGAGATTTTGAAAACCATAAAGAAAGCAAACAAGAGTCATGACAGACTAGATGACCCACAGAGGTCCCTTCCAACCCCTACCATTCTGTGATTCTGTGACAGCACTCCCTTCAAGCAGAGGAGTTCTAGTCCGTGCTAACTGTATGCATAGTCGTGGGATCAGGCACTAGAAATCAGGATGCCTGCCTGTGCAGTCAATGCCTTCATTACCAGACTATAGTGTCAAGTTCTTTTTGCTTGTTACCTGTCCAAGACAGTGTGAATCTAATCTTTTCATTATAAATGCGAGAGCTGAAAAGATTCAGTTTGGATTCTTTTGCAAGGTTGCTTTTTCTAACGAGTAATGAAAATTAATAATTCAGAAATTTCTAAAAAGAAACTACATCAATTTTAAGTGCTATAATATTTACATTACAACAATATGGAAAAAAACAAGCACTGCTTCTATCATCCTAGTTTGTATTCACTTAGAATATGCTGCTAAATTCTTTTTTATGTTTCCTTTCTCCACTTTGGAGCAAAATGCTTGTAAACTTTTTTGTTTTCCCTGTGGGTTAATTGCGCCGAGTGTAACTACTATTTGGCATTGTAAATACTATTTGGTATGGAATAACAAGAAAATACCAGTGTTGTGATTTTTGCTGTTGACTTTAGTGGAAATGTTTGTCCTTGTGCATTATTCTTACAAAGCCATTGTTACATGTTATAAAGTGATTGATAGAACACAAAAATAAAAAATATGCTGGAGTGAGATGACAGCTATTTTTCTGAATATTTTCGTGTTTATGTGTTTATAGATAAAAGTAGAACTAAATCTTCAGTGACACAGTGCTAAACTGAAAACACACTGCACTGTTTGAGTTGACCTTCCATAGGTCTCATCAGGTAGATTTGAGCTGGCCAGTGAGTTCTGCAGCATCGCCTACAGTTTGCAAATATAAATCTTTGTTCAGTTGGGGAACAGAGCTTTCCATGACTCTCTGTGTACCAGTTCTCAAATGCAAAAAATCCAAAGATGGATTTTTGGTGTGTGCATGATTCACTACTTGAAAGCCCACTGCAATCTTTGACACAGTGTATTTGAAATATCTGTACTTATTTTGGAACAATTTTCAGGTTTATGTTGGTAAATAAATCTACACGTGATTACCTTGTGAAGTAATCTGACAGATTTAATCAGTATTAGATGGTGGTTTTGAAAGGTCTTGAAGTATAGCACATATGGAAGACACAGGAACAGACTTGTCTAATGGTCATAAAAGGGTAATCTTTGCCAAGGAACAAGTATATGGCATTGCTGTTTAAAGTGGTTATATAGGAGCTAAAGTACTTCTAGGCTGTAGATGAAAGTCCTGTAAAAAAACTGCAGGAAGACTGTATCAGTCAAGGATATTTTGTCATGTAATCAACCTTAACATCTGGTCAGACATTGGAAAAGGCTGCCCAGGGAGGTGGTTGAGTCCCCATCCCTGGAGGTGTTTAAAAAACATGTAGATGCAGCACTTCGGGATATGGTTTAGTAGGCATGGTGGTGTTGGACGGATGGTTGGACTTCATGATCTTAGAGGTCTTTTCCAACATATGATTCTATGATCTTTCTTAACCTGGCCTAGGTTTCAATTAAATCTGTAGTTCTCATCACGAGTCCATCTTGTTAAGTGCAACGGAAATGTGTGTAGAGTTGTTTGTAATTGTACAGACTTAAATAATACAATTTAGCCTACTTTAGAAATCCTGGTGATGGCTTTCATCCAGCTAGGACAGAAAAAGCAAAATAACCCCTTCGGAGCGTTTTTAACGTGTTGCTGCCATCTAGTGTTTGTGAAGTCCGCAGCGGTTTAGGGAAAAGTTTAAATTCCGTTTCAGTGAATAGAATTAAAAACTGTGAGCATGTGAGAGATCTTTTAGCAGACACTAAGGTTTATATAGTTTTTAACACGTGAATTACTTCAAGTGCAGGTCAAACCAAATATTTCATTTAATTGTACACACACTTAACGTGGCTAATTAAAGTGATTATTAAAAGGTTACCGGACGTGCTCCTGTTTCTAAAGTTACATGTAGATTATGTGTGCATGCTACTTATCTCTTGAAGAAAGTAAGCATCAATTTAGATAGTACTTCTTCTAATAACAGTTCTCAATGAGCTTAATAGTAGTTTCCATATAATTATCATTATATATATAATGTCACTAATCTCTGTTTATAGTATTAAGTAACACTGTGTAGTAACTTTGAATGAAGCACAATCTTAGAGTGTTCAGTTGAGCTATCAGGAGATGAAAAAAGTTTAAATTTAAGAATGGAAAACCAAGTGCTTCTGAGTAAGCATTTTACTTAAATGGGATGCACAGAGTAATAGAGAAACTATCATCTTAATATTTAGTTACCTTGAGTACTGAGATAAACTCTTTTGAGGAATTACACCTGCTGCTAGGTCTGCCTTACAGTTTCTGTGGTTTTACATCAGGGTGCATGAACCAGTTTACCTTTATAAAATGGTAATAATAATACTGACTGCATTGATAGGAAGTAGTGCAAAAGTACCTGAGTAGATAATAAGTTTGTACTAATCAAACTTTGTGAGATTTTTGGATATAATGATTAATAGCAATGTAAACAGAATCAATATATTTGACTTTCACGTAGATATTTTCTTTCTTCTTGACAGAGCAGTTGGTGCTCTTTCAGACAGCAAGGATTTTGTAGAAGATCTCCTGAAAGGAAAAACTGTGGATTTGTCTTTTCAAGGAATTGATCACTTCAAAAATGAAGTTGGATTTGTGAAGTTGGCAGAAAATGATCACACAGCTATACTTACAGAAATAGCAGGTACAACTTGTCAATCTAGTTTGAGTGCTTGAAAGCCTTTTTGACAACTTAGATGAGAATGGAGCACAAAGATAAGTTGGTGCTAATTTAGTCAACATTAATTTACCTTTAACAACTGCAAAGGCTACATAGCGAATTTCCCAGCATAGTTCAAAAGGATATTAATGAATTACAGACAGTGCTGTACCACTCCCACATGTATAAGTGCATGTATACACATACACACGTATATATGTGTAGGTGTATATATATACTTTATAGATACGCTTCCATATATGTATAAAGTGAAATCTGGACTTTCTCTGGACCCCTGGAGGATAAGGGAAATTCAGGAGAAGGACATGACTCATCAGCCAGAGTAATGGAGGTGGATTCCATGCTGTCTCAGCCATTGTGGAACCAGTCTGTGGCTTGTTTAATGTTAGTTGCCTTCCTTTAGCAGTTAAGAAGTTACTGAAAGGTGTGGCAGGTACATGCTACTATACACGTGCACCTGCATGTTCCCTGCAGGAGCAAAACTCGCAGTTCTGTCTTAACTGTGGAGCTAAGGCCACTGTGTTTGCCAGTCGGGTCAAATGCATCCAAAGAAACAGTTCCAGTCAACAGGAATAGATAAATTAAAAGCAGTATAAATATCAACTGAGAAACAGCAGTTAGTACCTAGACCAAAACAAGGTACAGTGGAGTTTTTTATCTGTCTCTGAGTCCATAGACTATGTTGTTTACAGATATTAAATAAAAATTCTCAGAGAACAATACTGTCTGTAATTCACTGGTGTCCTTTAAAACTATCCCAGCCATTCCAGCTATTCCTTGGAAAGACACTTTAGAAGTGTTTTTCAGTATTGATGAATTGTCTTTTGAGCTCTGAGGAATGTGAGGTCACGCCTTTTTTTATATAGTGCAATAACCCATATAGGACGTTTTGCAGAGTAGCAAAGACTGCTGTTGTCACGCTACCTCTTTGTAGTCCAGTCCAGAGAAAAAATGGAAAAGGTCTTTATTAATACAGTGCTTCTCTAGCAATTAATTAGTTTAATTTCTGAAGTGCCTTTAGAAAATGCTTAGTATTTTTTAACGTACATTTTAAAGAAAAGTTGAATAGAAGACTATGAGTTTTTCAGCTTAGCAAATTGCTTATGCTGTTATTGGGCAGTGCTTTATTATTTTAAGCAGTGTTAGATAGAGAAGCATTTCTAATATTCAGTATGGTAAAAACTGAACAGTTCTTAATGTTCCAGAGAGGCTTCGGTGATCAAATAATTTCATGATTATTTCAAAGATTGAATCTGCCGAGTACATTTCTTCAGTCCTTTGGATGATAGGCTTCCTCATCCTTGTCTTTGAGTTTTTTTAGATTTCTTTTAAAGGTGACGGAATATTTTATGTATGTTGTTTTACAGACAGTGAGGTAATTCATGAACTGTGTTCCCTTTCAATACCTCTTGTGAAAGGAGATGGATGTTTTTTGTTAGTGACAGTAACTCTTGATTTTGAAAAGTTTATAGTAAAGAGCTCCAGAACAACTGAAGTTGCTGGACATGGAGAGCCAAATATCTGTTAACTACAGGAAATAAAGGAGTTTGTTGTGAGTGATTTTCTACACATCTTAGACCAGTGAACCAGATTTTGATCAGCATTAGGCAAATAAAGACGAGATCAGATTTTGACCTTTATTTTGCAGTTTGACAGTCTTTCCTAGTAGACAAACTCATAGTACAGTCAAATTTAAAAAACAAGCAAACCTATGTTTTCTCTATAAAGTGTAACTACTGATACTCACTGGTGAGCATTCTTTCCTTGTATTAGAACTACAGCTGTATATTACTATTTTTACTTAACACTTCTGTTCTGTAAAAATGTTTCTTATTTCAGTGCTTACTTTTGCCAACCCGGTGGATCATTTCTTGGCCTTAGGCCTGTCGTTCAGTTTCTAGACTTACACAGTGATGTTTGTTTCATCTGAATTTAGTTCTGAAAAAGGGTAGGGAGCTGAACATTACCAGAAGAAAATGGTAAAATGACTTAAAATTTTTAATGAGTATGACTTCAGGACATGCTATCTTAACATTTCTTAGTGACTGTCATAACTGTAACTTCTGAATTGCTGCTGATTCCAGAATATCTTTTCGTGCCTTCTTGGAAGGGCTAATATTATTTCGTAACAGGTAACCTGTAATTCATGAAAGGATATTCAGTTTTTGTATTGATGCTTGTGCCAGAAAAAATCATTTTAGGTCTGTAATTATGTAACACTGAAGATTATGCAAGTGTGTTTCAAAAGTTAGCTTAGTTACATACTAAATTAGTGGAAAGGACAGGTATGAATAGGAAGAAAATGAATACACTAAATAGTTTCTATGTACGTCTTCGTTAGATAAATTGCAAAGAATTTAATATAAGTAACCTGATAAAAACAGATAACTTCCTTAATACACAGATGTCCTTCAGGGCAGTGCAGTTTGGAATATGAAATAATATTAAACAAAAGAATCAGGTGAACTCCAGAGTGGATGAGGAAAACAAGGGAGTCGTTAGGATTCTTTCCCTTCCCCCAAGTGTATCACATGAATAGTTCCTTTAATGTAAGAGTACACTTACACAGTTAATTGCAACATGGTTTAGTTTTCATGCAGTTTTTACAAAACGTTAGCAGACAGTCCTCTAAGGGCCAAACCTCCTACCAAAGGTGTTAAATTTTGGGGAAAAGACCATGTAGGACTTTCTGGGCTGTACTTGACAAAATAAATATACCTTCTAATGTAAAGAATCGTATTAGCAGAAATGTGCTGTCGAGTTTATTTTCTGTAATACATCTCATATACTAATTTTAAACAGGCAGTATATCAAAATTATGCCTGATATTCCTAGTCTGTGGATAGTATCCTGAACACACAATTTTAGAGAGACAGCTGCAAGAGAAAATATTGGAAACTTTTCTGCTGGGCTGCTATTGTCAGGATTTGTGTGAAGATTGCTATCAGTTCTTCATATATATTGCTGTGAGGTTGTATATGTTTGACAGAAATTAATTGTCACAAGTTTATCCTGGCTTCTAGTACAGCTTGCCTGTGATATAACTTGTGTCCCTAGAAAACTGCAGTTTTGAAACTGAAGCTGGCAGAAAGAAAAAAGATATACAGTATGGCCTGCAGGATGTTAATCGTTCTGTTGTTGTCCATGGAACAGTAGAGAGAGATGACTTCTGTAGCTGGTTTGATTTTCTGCAAGACCTAAGTTTAATTTATTACAGAATTACTGTTTTGCTACTTCAAGATTATATTTTGTTTCTGCTGTGCTCTAAGGTGAATTTTGACTTCATGTGTTATTTTGTGTTCTACATGAATGTTGAAGGAGAAATATTGATAACACAAGCATTAGAAAATGTATGAAGTTCATTTAGCTTCTTGCAAGAGCCCATTTAGTTCTATAAATTATGTGGAAATTTGTTTGATACCGATAACGTCTGAACGTGGTACAGCATTATATTGGTAAGTGCATGTCTGCTAATACCAATGTAAATGTAAGTTTGCCAGAGACAAATGTTCAGGAAAAGCAGAACTAATATGGACCTTCTGATTGTTATGATTTGCTAGTTATTTTGCAGCATTATCCATTAAAAGATGTTAGCATCATATAATTATTTACCAGGAAGGAACAGTGCTAAACTGTTATGACATAAGTTTGAGGAATATTTTAATCACTCTTGTCCAAGTCTTTTTAGAAGTCTTGAGCTGAAAGCGATGTATACACTTACAGTGATTTTTTTAAAAAACTCCTCGTTTCTTGTGCTTTGCTACACTACAGAATATTTGAAGCACAAAGTGAATTTGGAAAAGATACTGAATTCTTTGCCTTCAATTTTCATTTTGATAATTATATTGTAAATTCTATTTGAAGCTGGTAAAACTGAATAAGTGAATCCTGTTTTGTACCTGCAGGATTTGAAGATTTTGGTTTTATGGATGAATGATGCATGTTATGGTCTGACCATGAGGGGGAGCTTGTATTTCATGAATAAAAAAGTTACTCTTCTGTTTATGCAGATAACTATTTCATTTGCTTTCGGTCCTTTGGTTTTAAGAAGTGTTGATTTGTTAGGTTAAATATTTTCATACAGTTAGGACTGCACTAGATAGACATGTAGTACACCTAACTAGTCATTTCCTTTAGTTTTAGATAAATGACATTTGGTGTAATCTCACTAAATTGATTTTCCTAACAGTCCGTACTAGAGAAAGAGAAATGGAAAGCGAGTCATACTGCCCATCTTCTCTCGGTGCACTACAGCTTTACTAAAGTATAAGCTGGGATTGCCGCCATACCAAAGCTGTCCAGCCCCTTTTGTTGTGCTGGGGATTTGTGCAGCCACATGGTGAATTCAGCTGTAGTTAATGTTTTTACCTTTGCCAGCTCATTTTTAACCTATTCACTTTGCCAGTGCAGTTTATAGCTGCATGACTGTCAGCACAAAAGACAGGAACAGTGGCAGGCATGGGGCTGGAGAGGAACAGTCTGTTTTGTCAAGGATGGTGCTCTCTGAGCTTCTTGCAAGATTATGAAACCACACATTTAGCATCTATTTTACGGTGAGTTACATTGCCCTGACTTCAGAGAGCCTAGAGAAATAGTTCAGTTCAGTTAATTTAGTTCACTTTAGTTCCGGATGGCTGAAGCTAAGATAAATTAATTTTGCCCCTTGTCAGTTATTCTTAAGTCATTTCACATGATGGAAAGATTGAGAACTCAAAACTATTGTAATTTTCCATAAAAGCAACTGATTTGTACAAAGTGAACAAAAAGCTACTAGTCCAAATCTATAACAGTTGCATTGAAAATGTACTGCTGTGGCATGTTAAGATTTTCTTCTAGTCCATGTGCCTTTATAGTTCCTACTAATGTGTGTAGCACAACTTCACTGGGCTGTGTAGAAACTTGGCTCATCCACAGCAAGAAGAGAAGCATGCTCTAAAGTTGAAAGTGGCAGTGTTCTGCTGTCT